TGAGTGCTGCCGGAGGGTAAGGACTGTGTTTTCACCCCACCCTTGTTTCACATGCGGTGCCTGCCCGTCCCGGGGTGAGGCGGGCCCTGGGCTGATGGAAAAACCGCGGTGTTTGTTTGGATTGTTTTCCCATTGTGTGCCTTGGGCGGGGAGAGGGGATGGCCGGGAAAGGGAGAAGCTGAACAGCGCTGCCCTTGGCCGAGGGCTGCCCTCAGAGTGAGCTGTGGGTGAGGTGGCACCAGAGGGACTTAGCAGAGTCGAGCTGGTGTGCGAGGGCATCCTGTTGGAGTCACTGTAAATAGGGTTTGGAGTCCCATGGAACTCCAGCGTGTGGAATCTGCTGCCTGTGCCTTGGCTGCGGTGCTGCCTTGGGCCTGGGAGCTCAGGGGCTGTGGCAGCACCTGGGAATTCATTATTTTAGGAATACAAGAGGATGTAGTTCTGTGAAGCTATGAACTGGCACACTGATCTAATCTTATATCTTTGACTTCAAAGTTTTCAAAAGATAGTAGATTTTTTTCACTTTTTTCCTTTAATTTCTTTTTTCCCCCAAAGGCCTCCTCAGTTTCTTAGGACACAAACCTTCCTGTATGTTCTGACTCCTCTCCCATCTTCCTGCTAGGTTCTTCTCCCTTGTTTGTGCTCAGATATTTCATTTATAGCCGCCTTATCTTTTCATAGCACCAGATGTTTACGTAGTTAGAAAAACGATTACAATGATTATATTGTGGAAGTGCTTGGTGTTTCTCTTTCTTAGACTACGTGATATGCTTCTGCTGTTTCCTACAGAATTACTGTGGTCAGATTGTCATCTAGTCTGCTCTGGACAGTAAGATACTGTTTGAACACTGCTCTTGTGTGTCTGGATAGGGTGGCCCTTTTCACTACTGTAAGATTTCTATTTTTTTTTTTTTTGCCCCTTGACTGCCACATGACAGAGCAGGCAGTGCATAAAGAGCTGTATTGAGCACAGTGATGGTCATCTTGAATGTGGTGCTCTACAGTTGTATCAACTTTGACATAAGGCAAAAATCTGGATAAGCAGAGAGCTCTTAGTTTTTGCAAAACCAGAACAATTTATTTTCTGATATTTGTCCTTTATGTCAATATTCACATTTTTAGTGAAAAGTAAACCCAGAGCTGTAGATACTTATGTGCCCTTAAAGTGCATCTGTATTTGGAAGAGGTAATGTAAAAGAAACTTATTCCCTAAGGAAAATTACCATTTAATACACAAGTGGTCTCCCCCCTTAACTTTCTGCCATCTGTTTGGGATGATAGCGTGTTTATTCCATCCTGAGAGAGCTGTGACCACATTTCAGGGTGGGTGACATCATTTCAGATGTACGATATCTCTTCTAAAGACTTGTGTGAAGACAGGATTTTTTTGATGCTCAGGAGAATAAATGCTGTGAGGGATAACAGGGCATCAACATTTTCCTCTAACACTGTGTTATGTGTGTGTTTATAATTACCAACTTCTTTGCAGCTACTTTTATTTATGTTTTATTAGTATTCTTTCTGACTATGCTTCAGGATAACGGATTGAATGTTGCATTGGGTTTTATGCTGATGTTCTTTTAATAACAGAAAAATAGACTTCAAAGGACGAGTGATAAGGGATTTATGGTGAGTTCAAAGTGAAGGGCTTAATGACACTGTGTGAATTTTCATAATTGGTGCATTCTTCAAAATGTTGATTTCAGAAGAACTTATCTGACACAGATTAATATTGATTGTTGATGACAATCCAAGTGGATTTGGCTTTTCCAACATACTTGATTCTATGGTACTTTTTGATTCTAAGTCTTTTGCTGATAGGATCAATTATTTCCAAAGGAAAGTTCATGGCATTGTTACTCCATGTCTGATGTTTTGCAGTGCCTTCAGACAGGCTCTCTCTCTCGGAGCATGTTCTTATGTAGCTCTTAATTTCAGGATAACCTTAAGAACTCTCTCCTGTGCTCCTTTTCCTTTCACTCTTGCAGCAGTGGTGGGAAGCCTGTGCAGCAGGGTGGTCCTGGCCTCTCAGTGATGCCCTGAAGTAGTAGCTGTGATGGAATTGAGTTTGGCATCAACTAGACTTGCCTGCCTTCTCAGCAAGATGTGGTCAGTGCCTGAGTGGGTGGCTCAGTAAGGGAACTCTTGCCTAGAGATGATAATTCCTCTAAAAGACCAAATGATACTATCCAATTGAGAAATCTTGTTGTGGGGCTTCTTGTTTGAGGACGTTAAATAAGTAAACACAAAAATGAGTGTTGAATTTGCTTTTTCTTATTCTGCAGATGTTCTACTCATCTGTGTTTTGTTTCTTTCCATTGGTCTGAGCAGCTCTTTCAGAACTGCTGGTATATTGAAGTTGAGCAGGTTTGAGCTACAGAGTGTGTGTGTGTACACATGTATGTGAATCTGAAATGCACAGGTTGAACTCTAGGGAAAATTTACACTTTACATGGGAAGGTTTGAGTGCTGGCTATAAATATTGCATACCTGTGACTTGGAAAAGCATTTTATATTGGGCTTTGCTGCTATGAAATTCAAAGTCATTTGAGTAGCCAAGATTTGAGTGGCTGTTTTAATTACTTCCTTGTTTTGTAGGTGAAGTTGTTGTTACTGTGACAGGAGGCAAGAATAGCTATGAGGTTAACAGCCTGAAATAGCTTTTTATTATTATTTGAATTGTTGGGTTTTTTCCTTTAGCTGGAAGTTGTTTAAAATGTCTCTGGTGTTGTTGCTCCCCATCCAGATGGCTTTTGTTTCAGTTCCTAGATGTGATATTGTTAATTAGTCACTGGTGCCACCACACATGTCACAGTTTGGGCCATGACTCACTCTCACAGCCACTGTGGGTTTGCCATTTCTCAGGATAAATACTGGTTCTCTCTTGACCCCCCTGATGTCACTGTTGGGTCAGAAACAGGGTGCTGACTGTTCAAGACACGGACCTGCCTCCTTGAGGAAGGAAATATTAAGTAAGTGCCTGAAAGCAAGAATAGCTTCCCAGCATGCTCAGGCTGGCGTGGTGGCTGTGCTTCCCTTCTGAATGGAAAAAGGAAATGGAATTTTAAAAGATTCTGATGTCTGTGTTGGAAATTCATAATTATAAACAAGAATCTTGTGAAACTTTATAATTCTCTGCATTGTGGTGCCTGGGCTCCAGGGGATGGGGCAGCATTTGTAAGTGGTGCCTCTTTGAACATTTTAAACTCTTGTTGATGCACTGAGGTGGTTTCACAATTGCAAATGTGGAAAAACATCTGAAAGGGGATGAAAATAAAAAAAATCATATGCTGAATTAAACCAGGAATGAATTATGAGCTAAATAACTACATAGAACAGATTAATGTTTTCCTTGCTGCTGTACCTGTTCAAGTAGTGCTTTATAATGGCAATACCACTTTATTTTACCCTAATGACCACATAAAATAACTGAAAATATACTGTGTGTGCATCAAAGTATGAAAAAGGTTTAGTATTATTCTTTTTCTTGGACCACTCATTTCAGTTACAAAAGAACTGCAGCCAGGATTTTATGGGAAGAAGGAACTGGATGGAGGAAAAGAAATATAGTATCCCATTTAAATAGTAGCTTGTTAAAGGTCTACTAGTTAGTAATGAGGAACTACACGTTTTCTCTAGATGTTTTTGGGTAGATGCTGTGTTATTCCAATAATGTAGCCTATGTTGCATGGTGGGATTACATTTTATTTCTTTCCTGTACATGGTTTAGAGATCACACCGTGCTAAAGTTTGCATGCCCAGTAATGAATGAATGGATTTGTAAAATCATAGAATCATGGATTCTAAACCATTATTTGATAGTGATGATGGTAGGGGCTCCCTTAATTGTTGCTTCTATGGAGGGAAAATGGGTCTTGTTATTCAGTGTATTTACATGGCAGGTAGAGGTGAGACTGGAGGGTGCTGTCCTGTACCTGAGACAGCTTTGAACTGGCAAGTTGATTTTTGTGCTGTTGGATATTCTGTTATCCATGGTAGGGAAGGGAAAGGCTGATAAAAGTAACGGAAAGCCATAACAGTAGTGGAGTTGCACATTCTGGCATAGTCTTTTACAAATGGTGATTTCCCACATCCCAGCGTGTTCCAACAATTAGAAAGGTAGGGGGGTGAATTGTCTCTATTGAAGGTGTTTACAACAGTGTTTTATGGTTCTTCCCACCCCTTTGTCAGCTGAAGAGCAATATCTGGAAGAAAAGGAAGGTAAATGCTTCAGTGAGGTGTGGCTGAAGAGAAAACTCTTCTTTAGAGAGGAGTAATGAGAAAGGAAGACTTGGCAGGTCAGAAAAACTGGTGGCAGCATTGAGTAAATAAAAATGTCTTGAAATGCAAAGGACAGGTGATCAGGAGGGCAGTGTGGTGAGCTGAAGCCCATCAGTTTCCTCCTACCCTGCAATGGTTGAAGTTTGCTCAGTGGGTTGAGTTCACAGGGAATAATCTTTCTTTAATGGTGAAAACAAATTGACTGTCTTTAGAGGGAAATGTCACTTTCTAATAGAGTTGAAGATGTTTTTCCTGCTGTTGATAGAGACTTTCAAGTTGAATATGTCACTGGCCACACGTGGACAACTAACAGGAAATTTGCAAAAAATAAAATAATGAAACTGGTCCTGTTTTTCTATGAAATATTGCCATGTTTCATCCAAGAAACTTACTTCGATTGTGTTTTATGCAAGTAAATCTTTAGGGAAAACCTGAAATTAATTTCTACCTTTGTTTTAGCTAACCTCTAATTAGTTAGTTTTTTCTCTTATTACTTTGTCTCAGTGATATAAACATCTCAACAATAGTGCTTTACCTTTAATTAACAGTAATGAGTAAAACTGTGCTTATGTGTTTGCAGTACTGGCATTTGAGACCCCAGACTTGTAAGCTGAGCTGTACAAGCAGGACTTATGTAAACTTTCCAAAGGCTTTAAAATGTGTATCTCATTATAGAAGGTTAAGTATACTGAATTTTCTTTTTTTTTTTCCCCCCTAAGGCTACATGGTTATGATATTATTGAGATTCCATAATGCCTCCTGCTGTGACAGACAGTCTTGACATCTGGGCAGTGGATTCACAGATTGGTGCTGATGGCTCCATATCTGTGGACTTCCTGTTGCCCACTGGGATCTACATCAACCTGGATGTCCCTCGAGATGCCACCATATCTCATATTAAACAGGTAGTGCCAAACGGGCAGTTAACTTAAAATTTACCTTCGGTTTGTGTGAGTGCTGTTTCTGATTTTTATGTGCCTTTTGGCAAATCAAGTCGTGAATTTGAGTAGGCGTAAAAATCATGTGTTGAAGGCACGTGCACAGCAGATTGACTAAAGGTAAAAATATAAAAATATATATGTATGGGGGGGGTTGCAAGGACTTTGGGCAGATGGCAGGGTTTGGAGAAGTCACTTCTTGCTGATGGTTACAGTCCAGCAGAGATCAATAGCTCTGCATTAATGCTGCTCTGAACCTTTTTTCTAACACATTGCTAATATATTGTTTATTGATCTGAAATTTCTCTGATTAGTGTGTCTAATTAGTGTAGAAGTCATAGGTTGTGCTCATTCTTTTGATGGATACCAAAGCCTGATGCTTTAAAAATGTTGTCTACCATTTCTTAAAGGTTTTATACAAATTAGGACATCACTTAAAATCTGAGGGAATATCCAAATCAAAGAAAGGCAAATTACCAGAGATATTAAAGAACAATCTACCAGCCTTTCATCAGAGAATGACCATGTGAAGACATTTAGACAAGGCAGTGAGTGAATTACAACACCAAGTAATCTACTCCTTAAGCATAATGAATTTCTAAAAGAAAATAAAGAAGTGTGATTTCTCCTTCCATTGCATTTTCTGGTGAATAAGTATATTGTTTTTAAGTCCTATTCAGTCTGACAATATTCACTTGCTTATGGACTTTATTTTCTTTGAATCAGTAGTAGCATTTTGATGGCAAAGTGGATTAGCAGCTTTGCCCCCACCACGTTGCTGTGACAAGCCCTAATTTGTGGACTCTTGGATATAAAAATAGAGGACTTGAGAGCAAATATAAGGAGTTTATTTTGCACATGGAATGGTTACAATTAAAATGGAGGGGGGTGGAACTAAAATAGCCAATTATTAGAAGGCTGAAGAATTTTTCATTTCTACGGAATTTTCAGTCCTACCAGGCCATGCTGTGGGTGATGGGCAGTGGCTGCTTTCAGTGAAAGCCAATTTCAGAGACTTCATGGCTTTGTAAATTTTACAATCATTAATTCATAAAGAAGTACCAATAGCTGGAAACTGAAATTACACAAGTCAGGAGGAGAGGCAATAATAGATTTAATCTTTTTTGGTACCTTTGAAACTGGAATTTTTTCTCAACACCAAAGATAGCTGCTGGATTCAGCTTTCACTCAGCTATGCAAAATACACGGGAATACATTTCTAGTAGACAGAGTTCATTGTACAAATGTATGAAATGTGTGCAGGTGTGTTCAGTTCCCCAAAAGCAGTTTGGTTCAGCTGCAGTTATGTGAGAAGAGGTTTTTGCCATTGCATTAATGGTCCTGCAGCTCCTGTTTTGAAGGAAGCTTGAAAAACAAATCTGTAAAATGCAAACTTGTAAAATAAGGACAAAAATATTCCTGCAGCTAAAGATTTGAGTAGTATTTAGGTTGGGAGAGCTTACTTTATTTACAATTTTGATTGCTGCCAAGGATTTGTACTTTACAAATAAATTATTTTAAGCTTCTCCAGACAATGTCATTTTTTTCACTGCTAAAAGGACTGTACTGGGGGATCTCAGGATAAGGGTCAGAATGAGGACTAGTGCTGCCCTTCCCTCGTCACCTCATAGTGCTTGTCCCCTCTATGTTTTTTGCCCCTGGAATATTTATCAATATTTACCACACACGTTGCTACTTAAAAATAACCTCAAGGTGGAGACCCCAAACTAGGCAAAGTAGATATATAATGATATATAGAGATAAAAATGAGCCAAGTTAGCAAACATGCTATTTCTGTGTTCTTTTGGGAACAAAATGGAAATGCCCCACCACATGTCCACGCTTTCTTGTTTTGTTTTATCTGCTCCCCTGCTCTCGTTGCAGCTGTTATGGAAGCAGGCACATGCCTATCCACTCTTCCACCTCCTCATGGAGATCGACTCTTACATGTTCTCCTGTGTGAATCAGACTGCTGTACACGAAGAATTGGAAGATGAAACCCGGAGACTTTGTGATGTTAGACCCTTTCTTCCTGTCCTCAAACTAGTGACAAGAAATTGTGATCCAGGAGAAAAGTTGGATTCCAAAATAGGTGTCCTTATAGGCAAAGGTAATTTTTTTTTTTAAAATAAGGGTGAACTTTGTTGTGTATGAGGGTCTTCACCGGGCAGGTAAAATACATTAAAAATACATTAAAGTATTTATAGAAATTTCTTTTAAAAATTCAGTATTTCCCTTTCTCAAACAAGTACTGATGTAGTTGGAAGGGATTTAAATACTCAAGATGAAACATGAAAATGGTTTAAAGCTACTCTCTGTATTGCATTTCAGCACTTATTGTATTACTACATCAATCAAAAGATAATTGATGAGAAAGTATTTATAATTTTATTATTATTACTAAGTGAAGAAAATCATAGTCCTTGAGCCGTGCTGTCATAAATAGCTCAACAGTGAACTGTTTGCACAGAAGGAACTAGAAGTTACTATGATTTTATTACACATGGTGTCCGAGTTGGTTAACAATATGATTCTTTTGTTGCTCTCAATTGTGTCACTGATTTTCATCAAACAATGAAAAGCTATTTTTAAAGGTTTCACAGTAACTTATTCTTGATGTTATTTCAGAATTTTCAGCTTTTTGAATCTCCTCTGCTTGGTTATACAATCAAGATTGACAGGGTCATGTGAGGTCATACCTCTTGTGTTAAAACAATGAACCATAGTTATGTCCCTCATAAAGACTGCAGGTTTTGTTTGGATTTCAGCAATACACTGTCTGCCTGTTTGTCAGAGCTGACAATGGGAACAGTCAGCCAGTTTAACCATTCAGACCAATCCTGACAGATTCAGAGAGATTCACTTTCTGTGACCCAATATTTGGCTTATCAGAGCTGTGTGTGGTCCTTCCTTCTGCAGCCCCTGCTCCGGACCTTAGTGGGAAAAAAGTGTTCCTGTCCCAGCTTCTATACTTGCTGTTTTGTTCTCAAAAGGTGTTCAGTGCTTTGTGTGGTTTGGACAATGTCCTTCGAAGTTCAGGAGAAAAGATGAAACACACTTGCAGGCCCCACATGTCCTGAAGTACCAAAGAGTCACAGCTGTGTGCACTCTCCATCACAGAAACATAGAATAGTTTGGGTTGGAAGGACCTTTAAAGGTCATCTCATTCCAACCCCCTGCAGTGACCAGGGACATCTTCAACTAGACCAGGTCGTTCAGAGCCCCATCCAACATCCACCGCCTCTCTGGGCAACCTGTGCCAGTGTTTCATCACCCTCACTGTGAAAAATTTCTTATTTATATACAAGCTAAATCTACCCTCTTTTAGTTTAAAATCATTATCCTGTGTCCTGTTGCAACAGGCCCTGCTAAAAAGTCTGTCATCAGCTTTCTTACTGGCCTCCCCTGTAGGTACTGCAAGGTCCTCTAAGGTCTCCCTGGAGCCTTTTCTTCTCCAGGCTCAACAACCCCAACTCTCCCAACCTGTCCTCAGCAGAGGTGCCCCCGCCCTCTGAGTATCTTTATGGCCTCCTCTGGACTCACTCCAGCAGATCCATGTCCTCCTTGTGTTGGGGGCCCCACAGCTGGACACTGTTCCTGGTGGGGTCTCCCCAGAGTGTGGAGCCTCACGGGCTGGCCATGCTGCTGGTGGTGCAGCCCAGGACACCCTGGCTTTCTAGTCTGTGAGCCTGTCACCCACCAGCACCCCCAGGTCCCTCCCAGCAGGGCTGCTCTCCATCTGGTCATCCCCAACCTGTGCTGATTCCGGGGATTGCCCCGACCCAGGTGCCGGAGAACTGGCATCCATAGCCAATCCCTTGTCCACTGATGTAGTTGCTCCATCATAGAAGGCCACTCGGTTGGTCAGGCAGGGCTTGCCCTGTGGATTCTCTCTTCATCTTTTGGGAAACGGAACCCGGCTGATCTTGGGTTGGTTGAAATTTCAGTCCTGTTGTTTTGATCCGAGAAGAAGATTTTCTTTGTCGACTTTTAAACACAATTAAAAAGGATGACGCCATCTTTCTGTGGGATTAAAATAAGCAATTTGCCAACACTTCCTCTGCTCTGAGGTCTTTATGATGCATTTTCTGTGCTTTCTCTTCCTTTGCTCTTGTGAGGAGAGACTTTCCAAACAGTATTCAGGTCAGGGTGAGTTTGGCTTTTCCCTGTAATAGTATCTAAGACACACATTGGTTCAGGTATGTATCTTTTGGCTTGCTTGGATTCTTTCAGGTCTCCATGAGTTCGATGCCTTACAAGATCCTGAAGTGAACGACTTCCGAGCTAAAATGA